CTTGACCTGCTAAAGCTGAGCACGAGCAACAACTGGAAACTTCCAGCTCCCTTACAGACAAGGCCTCTGTCCGGAGAGTGCCCCGTCTCTGGGGTCGGCTCAGTGGCTTGGGCTGTCAGAACACCACCCCTTCTCCCCGATTCCCAGGGCCCAGGAGCCTGCACAGGTGTGATGATGTTCACTGAGGGCCTGCGGGCGCCCAGGTGGGCCCAGTCCAGCCGCACGAGTGCTTCGTGAGCCCTGCCCACTTCCCCGGCACGGTGGGAGGGGCAGAAGGCCACTGGCCTACAGCCAGCTCCAGCCGGGGGACTCCTGACCCCCACACTTTGATGGAGACAGGTGTGCTGTGCTGCAGCGGAGCCCATGGACTCATTGCACCTGGTGCTTCTGCCAGAGTAGTTCACCTGTTCCTGGGCGGTGGTCTCTCCACCACCCCTCTGAGCCTGCAAGGCCCCCCACATGGATGAGGACGCTGGGGCCCCATGTCGGTTAGGTTGGCTCCAAGCCCCATGGATCTCCAGCTGCTCCCAGGTAAGATGGGTTTATGGCCACTTTCCCAGGGTGAAGGGCCGAGGCTGGAAGGTGGGTGGTTAGAACTGGTGAGGGCTCCCAGGGACAGGGGCACAGTGGGCCTGGGAAGTGACCGGGGCCCCTCTCGTACCTTCAGAAGGTCAGCATGGATCCTCACAGGGAGAGGAGGGGCGCCACCCACCTGCTCCTGCTTTCTCTGCTGGCAGTGTGGAGAGGGCTGGGTGCCCCTGCTGTTGGCTAGCTCTGCCAGGCAGAACTGCTCCCGTAAGAGGAGCCCCGGAGTCCGCAGCCCTGACTCTGAAAAAGGACATGAGGTCCTCTGGGACCAGCACGGGCCTGGGCTGCTGGCTGGGGGCCCCATGAGAAGGCAAAGGCCGTGTGTGGCCGAGGAGAGAGCTGCGTGCCACACCCTCTGCCCCGTCTCTGCCAGCACTTCGATTTCTGATTTCTGTAGCTGGCCATTCTCACTGGGCTGAGTCCTCACGGTGGGTTTTGTCTGTTTTTGCGACCATTGCCTGTGCTCCCAGGGCCTTAGCTATGTCTTACAAGGGTTAGCAATATCTCCCGCTGTCATTTGATAGTTTCAGGTCATAGATTAGATCCTAGGGCAACTTAGAGTTGATTTTTGTAACAGGTGTAATGTAAGCATCTTTTTTGTTGTTCTGTCTGGGTTTCCGTTCTGTTGCCATACCAGCCTCTTTGCATTATGGCTGTCCCGCAGTCTGTCTCGCAGGCTGGAATTGCAATGCCTTCCACTTGGCTTTTGTTTTTAAAGACTGCCTTCGCTCTTCGGGGTCTCTTGTGTTTCTCTGTGCATTTTGGCATCGTTTTTTCAGACCTGAGGAAAAGACCACAGGCATTTGGATTGGGGTCATGTTGAATCTGTAGGTGGCTGTGGGTAGCATGGACAGTTGATTTTGATTCCACCGTTCCACTGACGTGGAAGGCTCTGCATCCAGAGAGATACCGCAGGTCACAGCCCCGTGTGACACCATGGCCTGGGAGCCAGCAGGTCTCCCATGTGTGGCGTGTCGGAGTTCCGGGGCAGAAGGCGAGGGGAGATGGTGCAGCTGGCGGGCTCCTGGTTGTGAGTGTTCTACTGCTCTGGGCATGTGGCCAGCCCACGGGCAGCCTGGTCTTGCATGAAGCCCAATATCTGTGCCTTCCCACCCCCGTGAAAGACACCCGGCCCTACATCCTGCTCTCCTATGCTGTGTCTGCCAGGAAGGGGTCAAGCATGACCACTCCTGTTTGCCCCTGCCGGGAAGGTGCTGTGCGCTTGTGGAGAAAGGAGACACTTGCTGACCATGGCCATGAGGATCCAGGAGGGGACCCTAAGGCCTCCATGGCGATGGTGGGGTGGGTGCCGCGGGGTGTATGCAGGGTTAGTGGTCAGTGAGGGGCTGGGAGCTGCCCCTGTGAGCGCCAAGGGCTGCTTGCAACTGGTGCTCCCGGTAGCCGCTTCCCCCTTGCCACCTGCAGTGCATCCTCTGGTCCACTTCTCCCAGTGGGAGCTAAGTGGTCACCTAGGAGGCACCCATTTCACAAATAAAACACTCCCCCCAGGTGGATGCCGCCCACTCCCGTCCGCCCAGGCGTTGGGCAGAGCAGACACCATGCAGTGCCCGAGGGCTTCTGGGGCTCCAAGGCCACGCCAAGAGCAGGCGGGAGGGATCCCATCTGCAGGATCGGGCACTGGGGGTGGCCAGGCAGTGTAGCTGCTCTGCAAGTGCCTGAATGGACGCCACCGACCCCGGGGAGGTATGGACAGGCATGGTGGCGCTGTGTCACCAGCCTCCCGGTTAGGCTCCTGCTAGTGGAGTCCCTGGGTAGAACCTCGGTGCCTTTGATGGACTTGGGGCACCCACCTGCCCCTCTGAAGGGGCATGGAGCCAGCCTAGGGCAGCCCACGGCCATGGCCACACCAGGGCTGCAAGTCTTCCCCTCCCTTATCTTGTCCCACTTGTGGTCACCTCAGGGTGGACACAGGCTTCCATGGTGCTCAGCCATGCTCCAGCAGTCTCTCCGCTGGACTCTGCCTCGGGCCTGTGGCAGCTCTGCCAGTGGTCCTGCAGCAGGGGAGAGCTGGCTCTATGGCCCCTGGGGTCTCCTCCAACATTCAGACACTCCCAGCTGGACGGGGAGGGTACACCAGTCACTCCAATAGGGTGGGTAGCTCTGGCTGCTGTGGCCAGGTTCAACAGTGGCACAGGGCAGTCTGAATTTCCAGGTGTGTTGAACAGGGCCCTTGGGCACAGCTGGGTCAGGCCACAGTGTGTGCCTCAGCAGCTGGGGTCATCGTCCCTCCCCGGGCATGGCCTTAGCAGGCCAGTGCTGGGGTCTCTGCGGCCTGCCAGGAACAAGACACTTGGCAGGGGTGGGGGACAAAGTGCATGCCTTGGGGATGCATGAGAAATGGCCTTTGTTTGCTGTAGTTTTAATTTAGTTTTTAAAAAACCCACACAACCTAGATTAATAACCTGTCAGTCCCAGCAAAGCAAACAGACTGAATGAGAGCAGCAGGACCCAGCCTGCTGGTGCTGGCTTGGAATCGGACCACCCGGAAGTTACCACGGTCCCCAAGGACCAGCGTGTGCCAGGCATGCCCTGACCATGCACCACTTCCTTCCCAAGAGGAGCTAGGACTGTCACCAGGAGGGGCGTGATGGCTCCAGGAATGCAGCTGGCCAGCCCCCTCCCAGCCAGGCCAGGCCTGTGGTCAACACATGGCCTGTTGGGCTGGCCACTGCCATGCCTGACAGCTTCCACGTGACATGACCCTGCAGCCACTGCTCCCATGGGAACATACCTGAGTGAACCAGCCAGCTCGTTCTTGCTGAGGTGTGGCTGACCACTGACAGCGGGGGACTGGAAGCCCCCCCATTAGCCATGGAGCTCAAATAGGGACATTAGAAGATGGGGCAGGGAGGGGGCGGCCCATACTCTCCACTGCAGCCCTGAGGGCCTGGACGGAGAGCAAGTGCAGGAAGGGGCCGCCAAGGCTGCTGTTTGGCCCTTCATCCAACACACGGGAGGATGGTTCTGGGGTTGCTCTGTTCTCCTGGGCACCCAGCTCTGACCTCTGCCATGCTGGGCACAGGGTTGTCTCTAGTTGGTCAGACACAGGCGGGGAAGGAGGGTGGGCTCCTGAGTGCCCCATGAGCCCAGGCTGGCCTTCATGGCCACCACAGCTGCAGATGGCCATGCCCAGCAGAACCCAGCCCCACTCCAACCATGCCATGGTCCCACCTGACAGCCGCTGAGAACCCACGCACTTCCACAGCCTGCTTTGGGGATGTCCCGAGTCCTCGTGCATCGATTTGGAGGCTGCCCAGGCCATCTACATCCCTGTCCAGGGCCTGGGTTCAGGTCCCAGCTTGGCGTCAGACCCCAATTTCCTTCGAGTGCAGGCCCAGGAAGGCAGCAAAGGATGGCTCAAGTAGCAGGGTCAATGCACCCACATAGGAGACCTAGACTGAGTTCCAGCTCCTGACTGGGGCATTTCGGCACCGAACCCATGATGGGAGAGCTCTGCTTAAACCCCTGTCTGCCTTTCAGAATAGTTTCCCAACCCTAAATGCTTGTGAACCAACTGGATGGATGAACCTGCAGGGAGCTGGTCTGGCCGCGTGTGTGCTGGGCTGTGCGGCATCTGCTGTCCTCTGGCGCCCTCTGGTGGTGTGCACACAGCTGTGTGCTGAGCCCACCCTGATCCTGCAGGTGCCTGCAGCTAGCTGGAGCAGCGGCCTGGGTCCTCACGGAGCCCTGCGACGTTAACCTGGCCCGTTCCTGGCACTCACTATAGATGGTGTGTCGGCCAATAGTGAATAAGCATGACGCACTCCTCCTTATACGGAGGGGGTCCCAGGGCATGGGGACAGCAGCAAGGGGGAAGGAAAACTGTGCTTGCCAGGTGCCAGCAGAGGGCAGCAGTGAGGCGAGTTTTCAGTGGGCAGCTGTGCTGTGTGGGCAGAGTGGGGAACGTGCAGGCACCAGAACAGCAGGCTGGTAGGGAAATGGCCCAGCCTCTTTCTCCACTGCCTCCCAGGGGTGTGGGGGCCCCCACGTGCTCCTGGGTGTGCAGGGCGCAGGCTGGAAGGGGCCTGGGGAAGAGGTGAGCTGACTTCAGGGGCCACAAGAGAGGGGGCAGGCTCTCGTGGAAGGATCTGCACTGACGGGTATCTGTGAGTCCAGGGTCGTGGAAGGGGGCGGGGGTCCCTCCCGTGGGCATCCACGTGTCTCCCTTGCCGAAGCGCTGCCTCCCCACATGGTCCTGTGGCTCGATGTGGCCATCTTGCTCACACTCGGGAAAGCATCCAACAGGGGTGTCCAGCGCGACACTGGGCCCACAGGGAGTGTGGGCAGCCCCGTCTGTGAGCAGTCATGGAATACTCAGCCTGAGGTCTGAGAATCCGGCAGCCCCGCACATGCACCAGCACCAGGAAGAACTGAGCCGCTGCATAACCGCATGAGAGCGTCAACGGGTGACTTTATTCCATATAAAAGATACACTGAGAAGAGGTTGACAAGTCGTGTCTCCTGGGTGCGCACCCTCATGCCCAGGCTCAAGACTACTCAACAGGGCACTGAGGGAGGAGCCTCAGGCCACAGCCCAGGGGACAGGTGTGCGAGTGAAGATGCGAAACCATCGCCGGCAGCCCCTCCGGCTCCTGGGTCCCTCCGCCGTGGCCTGCTGGTCCCATCGGCTGGTCTGCATGTCCGGCAGTGGCCGAAGCCCTGGCCAGAGCAGAATGTGGGGTCATGTTCCCAGGAGGGAGACCTCAGCCTGCTGTGCCACGGGGAGCACAGAGGACGACCCTGGAATGTGCCACAGCCACTGCGGGGCAGCTGGGGGAACAGCACGGACCAGGCGAGTTAAGGCAAGTGCCCGAGGAGGGGAGCCACCGGACCTCGGATTTCTCAGCTCCCCACCAAGGGTCCTGTTTATCACCTGGGCTGTGCAGAGACAAGCAAAAGTAAACGCCAAGCTGCTGGCATCCTGACCTGGGCAGAGGCAAGCCACCCTCACCCCCGACGCTGCGCCATGTGAGGTGAGCCCCGTGGTGCTGTTGCTCATTTGGCTGTTCCAAGGCCCCCACACACTCCCACGTCTTAGAAACCTGCCGGCAAGCAGCACATGACTGCCACTCGGATGGAGGCACTCGGGTGGGCACGAGGGGAGGTCCGCCCCGCCCCGCCCTGCAGCAGCATGTTCTAGAAGCCAGCTTGTCGGCTGTCACAGCGCCGGAACAACACTGCCCATCTCGACGCACACGCACAGCACACACACAGCCTCCTCTGTGGGCAGCGGGGAGTGCAGCAGGATGGGCCTGCCGCTCAGTGCAGTTTAGGGCTCCCAGAGCCCCGAGGTCCCGGGCCGGCGGCTCACCCAGGGCAGCAGGGACACCCCAACGTGGAGGCTTCCGGTTCCTGGGACTTTGTTCTCTTCAGGACGGAAAGCAGCAGCTCAGTACAAGGATTTCACTCTGAGATCCCACCCAACGTCCTAAATGCAGGCCTGCTCAGCAGCAACGGGCTGCAGGAGGGCCCAACGTGTGGCTGTGGCATAGGATACTCGGGCCAGTCCACGCTGCCAGGCGTCTGCTGGCACTCACTTGCCCCCTGCAGGCCCCAAGCGAGTAACGGAATGTTGCCGAGCCCCAGGCCAGCGGTGGTCTCACACAGAGAACTCTGGGCCGCCTTTCCTAGGTCTCAGCTGCAGCCGCCTCAGTCGGAAGCCGACAAAGGGGTTCATCCAGAGGAGTGAGGGGGGACCCCCGAAGACAGACTTCATCCCTTCCCACCGCAGCCGCCGCTCCCACGTGGGCTTCTCGCTCCTCAGCCGCTCGATCTCCTGGAAGCAGAGAAGCAGGTGGGCGGGGCCCTGGGCAGGCCGAGGGAACCCGGTGCTCCAGCGAGGCAGCCGGCGTGCGGTGACCCCGGCCCTCGGCTAGACCGCGGCACTGGCACCAGGAACACCTGCAGCGCAGGGCACGAGGAGGCCAGCTCCTGAAAGTCACAGGGCTGCCAGGCCCAGCCCGCTGCCGCCCCCACCAGCTGGGCCTGGAAGCACGCACGGCCAGCCATGAGCTTGAGGGAACCTGCCGAGGCTCAGCCGGACACAAGTGACCTCCCAGTGCACCCTCCGTTGCCACGGGCGCCACCCCAGTGCTGGGGCCTGACCCACCTACCGTCTCGTCGTTGCATATGGAGTGGATCTGGGTGCCAAACATGACGGCCGTGAAGGTGAAGAACAGAAGCCCCTCGAGGCACAGGAAGATCAACAGGATTACAGTAACAGGAGGAGAGAAGTCGCTGCACTCTGCGGGCAAGAGGGGCAGCAGCTGACGGCGGGGCAGGTGGCACCTTGGCCAGTGCCCGGGGCTCTCACACTGCCCTCAGGCTCGGCCACTGCTCCCCAGAGCAGGATGCACAGCTGCTTTCTTGGCTGGCAGTTTTGGAAGATCCCGTATTCTCTGGGATTTCTATGGCCACGGGACGATGGCCTGGGCACTGAGCTGCTTAGAGGGCAACCCAGGCCAGGAGAGCCGAGTGCCCTCTGTGGTGGAAGGAAGGCAGGAGGCCCAGCTGGACGGCTAAGAACCGTCTGAGGTACAGCTGCCAGGCCCCAGCAGCAGTGCCCGCCGAGGCTGGCTGCTCAGGCAGTGAGCATGGATGTGGTGAGGTGACCCATGCCCACTTCTAGTCTCAGACTCCGTAAACATAAGCCAGGACAGCAGAATCAACCGCCTAAGGCAGGACGGCGGCTTGGCTGCCCGATCCCAGCAAAATGGAGGCGCAAACCTAACCCTGCTCTTTTCTACAGAAATTGAAGCCATTCCTAAAATAGCTACAGCCTTTTCTTCACAGCTTCCCAGTGGTGGTCCCATCTCAGCCCATACGATGGAGGGAGCCCCAGCTTACCAGTCCACTGCCCTCGGACACAGGAAATGAACTGCAGCCCGCAAAGGATCAGCGCGTGGACCGAGGACAGCGCTATGTACATCTAGGAGGAAGGGGGGCAGGTGAGCAGCTGAGCCCGCCCGCCGAGGCTGAGAGCTAAGCTGGCCATTGCACTCCACGTGTCAAGAAAACAAGCAGGGAGGGAGTGAACTGGGCAGCTGACTTCTGCCTACCCAAGTGGGCACTAGGGCAAACAAAATGTTACAGAAAAACACACAGCAAAGATGCTATCTACAACAGTGCCTTGAGGCCTCTGAAATGCCAGGTCAAGGCGAGCCCTCCCATCGCCTGGCAGCACCCCCAACCCCCGGCCAGCACTGCATTTTCACCAGACTCCTGCAGGAGAGGCCGGGGCACAAGCGGCCTCCTGACGCAGGGGCTTCGGCGGCGCGGTGCCAGCCCGGGAGCCTGTACTCACCGTGAAGAGCACGAAGAACCGCTGGTTCTTCTCCCCCACGCAGTTGTTCACCCACGGGCAGTGGTGGTCCATCTTGCGGATGCACCGTTTGCAGATACTGGAAAGGACAGTGCACTTTCCAAACCAGACCCCGCAGCACAGCCCCCCGGACAGCTTCAAGGCTGAATGCCACCACACCAAGCCACATGCCCCAGGCCACCAGGCCAGTCCTGCAGGCTCTACGTCCCTGTCAGTAAAACATAAAACCGGACCCAGAGCAGCGGAGAAAGGGGCTGGCGGCAGGAGGACGCTCCGCCTCCACCGGACTCCCCAGGGCTGCCAGCCTGCAACACAGGGTGCTGGCACAGCCTCAGGCCCCTTCCCAGTGCGGCGTCTCCTCGGGCAGGAAGGGTTCCCAGTGAGACAGTCTGTTGGGTGGGGGCGCCCCAGTACCTGCAGTGGTGGGCGCGCTCCGGCTTGATGCAGCAGCACTTGGGGCACTTGTAGATAACCTCGCCCGGCTTCAGCTGCAAGCTCTCCATGTACTCTTTCGTGGCATTGCCCTTGGGCACCGCCCCCTGGAGGGCGCAAAGGAGGAAAAGTTTAGAGGGAGTTGAGTAACTGCGGAAATAACCGTAGGTTTTTTACATTAGCAAATCACCTAAAGAATATCAAATACATTTTAAAAGTCCATTACTGGGACAGGGTCAGAAGTTTCCTATTTTCTACCAAACAAACAAAAAACCCTAACAGTGAAATAGGCAAAAACTGCTTCCTTCCTTTCCTTCCCGTGAACTGAGAACTCGCCTGCGGGTTCTCCAGCTTCTTGTGAGCACACTAGACACGGTCAGCCCTGCCCCAAGCGCCCACCTGACAGCAGGGGTCTCTAGTGGGTCACCTGGGGTTCTCTGTCAGCTGGGAGGGGGTCTGGCAGACAGGAGCTGCAAGTGGACTTTACAGCACACTAGCGCTCCGCCAGGCATATCACGTCCCTCCCCAAAGCACACTTGACCTGCTTCAACATGGTGGCGTGTGTGTGTGTGTGTGTGTGTGTGTGTGTGTGTGTGTGTGTGTGTGTGTGTGGTGGGGACAGGGCAGCAGCTGCCAGGAGGAGGGGAGGTCAGGCCAGGGGGCAGGGTGAGGCCTGAGCTGGTTGCAGGAGGTGAGGTTTAGTCTTGGGGACAGCAGAGCCCCCTGACAGCATGCACGTGTGGGAGAGATCCTTCTGCAAGCCGTGGCAGTGTGGAAGGTGTCTCAGAAACAGGCAGAGTCTCAGAGTCTCGAGGCAGCAAACAGGGTCTCCAAGCTGGGGAAGGTCACAAGTGGACTCAGACCCGAGTCACAGCTCAGCAGAGACCATGCCAAGATGTCCAACTGCTCCCCCTGCTGCCCTCCCACTGTGTCCAGTGCCCCGGCCCTACGCGCCTACTGGCCTGTCTGCCTCCTCTCTCCTGGGCTTTTCACAGGCTGAGGCCCTTCTGCTAAGGACGGGGCAGGGACGGCAATGTGGCTGCTGAGGGCCCACCGTGTCAGAGAAACAAAGGACAAGCACCCTCATTGGCAGAAACAAAACCGCAAGGCATCGCCATGGCAGTCTGCATGCACGTAGCTGGAAGCCTGGCACAGACACGGCGCCCTCACCACAGATGCCTGAAAGGAGGGACCTAGTCAGTGGTCACCAAACGGGGCTCTTTTGACGATGGGCACCCAGGGAGAAGCCGGGCACTTGCTGTGCTCTGAGACCCAAAGGGGACCCAGAGGAAACAGGGGACTCCAAGGAGCTCTTCTGGCTCCCCAAGAGCACTACGGGGTGAAAGTGGAAACAGGAAGACAGCCTTTCAAGCCCCCCAAGGCGCCGGCCACAGGCTCCTGCCACTACGGCAGGCTGGCCTGTCCTGGCCCTCAGCAGCGTGCCCAGCTGCTCGCTGGCTCAGGGCGGTAACCCTGTCCCACCCCAGGGGCACGCTGCCCGAGAGGCTACTGGCCAGAGAGCAGACACAGGGAGTCCCCGCGGCAGCACCGGCCGCTGACACAGCCTGCGCAGCCAATCACAGCGAGCCTTTCCCTGCGCAGCCAATCACAGCAAGCCTTTCCCTGAGGCTCAGTGTCAGACTTTTGTTCATAAAAAGTTGACCTTGAAAACATTAACTTCCTGGCATTTTCCGCAGACACAGCTTCCATCTTAGACAAAGATCAGTAGATTTTAGATATACAAATGACTGTACAAACATTGTTTTAAAGTGTTGGCAAGAAGCCTGTCCCAACGAAACTTAACACCCAGCTAATGCCCGGCCAGGCACACCTGCCTCACACACCTATAGGCTCTGTGCCCAAAGGCCAGCCCCGGGCATCCTGCCAGGCTCTGTAGTGGCCTGGCTGCACCCACCTCCAGAGGAACCTGGTGGCTGTGCCACAAGAGAAGGCCGTCTGCCTGGAGCCTCGGACCTCTGACACCCAGCAGCTGCAGGCCGACGAGCAGCAGGAAGCAGCCCACAGGGTCTCTGCTCTGGAGACGACCCCAACACACTGTCCTGATTCCACACGTGCCCTGCCCAAGAGGCGGCCTCTCCTGCCCGCGACCAGAGACCTCGAGGCAGCTCTCTGCTCCTAACTTCCCCGGAGCCCAGCAAGGTGACAGACTGGGAGTACTCCTGCAGACCCTGGAGCCTGACGCTCAGAGGACACGGGAGCCCTGGGCCCGCCTCGGCTTTCAGCCATCCCCCAGTGCAGGGGCAGGACACCCCGCCCGGGGGCCATGGAAGCCTCGCAGACGCCTCAAGGCTTGGAATCAGGCTGGCTTTCATATGGATCACCTCGAACAAGGATTGTACTAAACATCTGGCAACCAAAGCAAAGCAAACAGGCTCCGTGTGTGTCAGAGAAACAGCAACCAGACCAGGTGGGGATCAGGAGCCACGGAGCGCCGTCTCTTCTCTGGACACAGCCCAGTGGGGCCATTTCCCCTCAGCGACACCATGCCATCACACTCGCTGCAGCCACGTCGCTCCCCAGGTGGGACACAGAACACGGCGACGAGCCCCGCGCCCAGGGCACACTCACGGGGTCAGTGAGCATGGTCCGCAGGTGCGAGGACAGCGCGAGCACCGCCAGGCAGTTGAAGATGACGCCATTGACCACAGAGTACCAGAAGTCCTTGGAGGGCAGCAGCATGACGAACGTCACCACGAAGTCCGCGTAGACGACCAGGAGCCACGTCATGACGGCACAGACCATGCCACAGCCATCGCGGATGAACCAGACCCTGTCGGCCAGGTCGGCCTCGGAGGAAGAGGAGGATGAGGAGTCGTAGTTGTCGCTGTCAGCCAGGAGAGGGTGATGCTCCACATCCCGCAGCCTGTGTCCTGCCGGCTGCATGATTCCCAGAGAGCCCTGCAGGGGGCGACACGGCTGGTGAGGGCAAGCCAGACCTCGCAGGCTCAGACACGCAGACACACACCTCCCACACAGAGACAAACTACACACACACACACACACACACCACACACACAGTCACCACACACCTACACTCTCCTTCATACATGTAAGCTCACACAAACCTTTCAAACACTCTGGTGCACCCCCACTTGAACACACACTCACAGGCCACCTCTTCATGGGACATGCAATGACTTGCCTTTGGCCATTTTGTGATTAGAAAAGAACATAAAAGTTGAACTAGCTAAGGTGTGTGTTGAAGTCTTTCATCCGATTGCCTTGCTGTCTGCCACAGCAGGTCCTGCCTATAAACACCACTCCATCACCGCCAGCTCACCGCAGCCACACGCACGCAGATGTGACAGGCCGCGCGGGGTGCACACGCCGCACCCTTGAGCCCGCACATGGGCATGTCTTCTCTGCTTGGCAGGGCAGGTGCGGGGCCCAGTGGAGTCCAGCAGCTGCCAGTGCCAACCACCCACGTGCAGAAAGCTGAACCAGCACGCCTGTCGCTGTTGGAGGCAGTGCTTGTTCTCCGAACTCGCGGCCCGTACCTGCCATTTCTCCGATGACTCCACTTTTTTTTTTTTAAGATTTATTTATTTAAAAGTCACATTTTCACAGAAAGGGAGAGACAAAGATCTTCGCTCCACTAGCTCACTTCCCACTTGGCTGGGGCCAAGCTAAGCCAAAGCCCGGAGCCTAGACCACCTTCCTGGGTGCAGGCGCCATCCTCCACTGCTTCCCCAGGTGCGTGGGCAGGGCGCTGGACCGGAAGCGGAGCGGTGGGCACTCACGCGGCACTCACAGGACACCAGCTGCGACACCGGCCCTGCTCCCTGGTCTCTCCTGTACCACGTGTCATGTCGCTGCGGAGGCTCCCGGAGATGCTACTGGTCAAAGAGCAGTCGTCTCTCCTGTCTTTAACTTTCTCTCTCTTCTTGGAAAGTTAGATACACAGGGAGGAGGAGAGATGGAGAGGAAAATCTTCCATCCATTGGTTCACTCCCCAGGCGGCCACAATGGCTGGCGCTGTACTGATCCAAAGCCAGGGGCCTGGAGCCAGGAGCCTCCTCTGGGTCTCCCACGCGGTGCAGGGTTCCAAGGTTCTGGGCCATCCTCGACTGCTTCCCCAGGCCACAAGCACGGAGCCGTATGGGAAGCAGGGCTGCAGGATTAGAACCAGTGCCCATATGGGATCCTGCCACATGCAAGGTGAGGATTTAGCCACTAGGCTACTGTGCTGTGCCCTGTTTTCTTTCTAACTTAAAAAAAAATTACTTGAAAAATTTACAGAGAGGAGACAGAAAGATCTTCCATCTGCTGGTTCACTTCCCAAGTGGCTACCACAGCCAGAGCTGAGCTGATCTGAACCAGACATGTATGCTTCAAAGTGACTTTGACCGCTTTAAACAAGTGGCCTTCTATACTGGGGCGAGATGGAGGAGCGTGTGGGCAGCACACAGCTGCGGCGGAGGAGTCGGCTCTTACAGGAAAAGGGACCACGGCTGCACACCCCAACGTCACAGCAGGGGGCGTAAGGAGACGCACCATGGCCTGGCTTCCGAGCAAGTTCACTTCGGAGAGCAGGCCTGCTACAAGGGACTGACAGCGCCCTGCTTAGAAGACGAGGCTGGAGCCGAGCAATTGTGGCAATGTTTAGGAACTTGCTCACATTCCACACGCTTTGTGGGATTCCCTGAGGGGCCAGAAACGCTGACCAGTAGAAGAATGAACGCGTTTTCCAAAGTCAATAGAGGAACCCACCCTTGAGTCAGAAGAAAGCATCTTTCAAACATCGCAGTGGCTCAGAGACAAACACTGACAGGACATGGGCAAACGCTGCTGGCCCTCCCGCCGCTGGCGCACAGAGGCTCTGGCGAGTCCGAGGGCTCGGCCCGTGTCCCACGTGCCCCAAGCCTGCTCCTCCTCCAGCAAGCTTCCCTTGGGAGACTTCCTCTCCTGCGAGCGCTCTGCAAACACGCCTCTCAACCTGGGGGTGACTGCAGGCGGCGGCTGAAACCACACGCAAAGCACACCCCATCTTCCTGCCAGTGTTCTCCCTGTGCCCATACATCATCTGGCACGCTTGCCAGGAGGGTGATGTGATGGACACCCAGTGGGCCTAGGCTTCTAGGGCCTTCCCTGTGACTCAGTGTCGCAGGGTCCATAGCATCAGGAACCAAAGCAAAGTGTCCTGTGACCAAGGCCACTCTGCATCCTCGAGGGACCACGGCCCAGAGCCACTCAGTGTCCTCAAAGGGCCACAGCCCAGGGCCACTCTGCGTCCATGAGGGACCATGGTCCAGGGCCACTCTGCGTCCTTCTCCAGGGAACACTGGACAGCCCAGAGTTTGGAGGGCATGACGTAGATGTGGTCCATGTGCCCCCCAGTGTCTGCAGGGTGCAGAGGCCCAGAGCCAAGCCAGTGCAGCCTAGCCTCCATGTCCAATCCAGACCATGAGGCGGCCCTGCTGGAGGGCCAAAGACAGCAGTGTGTGTGCAGGATGCCCAGCACTGGACGCGGTGGGTCTGCAGGGCCCGACACCTGAGAGCTTCCATGCTTAGAACGGATCAGCACCCCAGAGCTCACCCCAACAGTGCATGCTGCAGAAAGCAGTCACTCAACAAGCCAGGTCGGGCTGGCTGCACGAAGTGCACTGGCACCCACTGAGTCACCGTATTTACACTTCACCAGTGCCACAGGAAGGGTGGGGAGGAAATGAAGAAATGAGGCTCTGTGCAGAGGCTGCTCCACGGCCCGGGCGCTCAGGGCCACGCTCTGGTCACAGCCAACGCCACCCTGAGGCGCATACGCTTCCGGGAGCCGCCTCCCTGCTCCTGGAGGTCATCTCTGTTCCCGAGCCCTAAGCTCTTCACCTCCCACTCAGTCACTGCTTCCCAGAATAGAAAAGCCAAGCGGCAGGCCTCTGTGCTCAGGGACCACCCTGCACACACAGGACCCGCGGCAGGGGTCCCTCAACAGCTTTCTGACGCCAAGGACCTGGCCCCTGCAGAAGCTCAGGGGAGAAAGGCCGCTGTGTGCTGGCCCGCCCGCCCTCACCTCACAGCCGGCTCGGGAGCATCACTGGGGCCCTCTGCGCCTCTTCCGCAGGACCCTTGGGTGCATGCCTTCTGGGTGACAGGATCTGCAAGACAACAGCAGCGGTCAGAAAAGGACACTGGGACGCGTTCTGCACGAGTCCCGGCACTCGGGACTTCCTCAGCTTGGAATCACGCCTCTTGTAAGCTGTGACTACTAGGAAGTCAGCGTTCCTGGGAATCACTCAGTTTAGAATCTGGGCACTCTGGCCTCCTGCTTCCATCACAAGTCTCCAAGGCAGCGCGTCGAGGGAGACTCCCAGGGTGATCCCAGCCACATCTGGCTGACCTCAAGCTCAGCTACTCACCAGCTGCTCCCTTCTCCAGAGGAGACCAGGGGTGAGAGATGTGGGCACTCCAGGCTGGCAGAATGAGCAGGGCAGGCGCAGGAAGATTCTGGAACTAAGTGTGACCCCACTGCAGGTGAGGGCTCTCACTTCCCACATGGCTCCCAGAGTCCCAAGGGCAAGGGTGGGAAAATGGGGGTGGGGGCAGTTAGGAGTGTGTCAGATTTCCTATGATGAGGGCCCCAGGGAGCGGGGGAGGCACCTGCTGTGCAGCCAGTGCAGTCCCATCTCAGAAACGAGGAAGGCGGGCAGACCTAGGGGCCGCAGAGCACTGACAGCAATGCCCGAGTCTGCGGGCCTGGCGTTCCCTCGCACAGTGCCCAGCTGCCTGGCTGCTTTCCTGCTGACAGGCTCAAGGGTTTGGGCCGCTGCTGCTCACATGGAGCTCCTGGCTTAAGCATTCAGCCTTGCCCAGCCTGGCCGTTGCATCCATTTGAGTAAACCAGTAGACATAAGAGATATCTGATATCCTTCCTTTCAAATAAGTTTTTATCCTAGGTGTTGTGGGAATTTGGAGAATGAACCAGCACATGAAGACCACTCTCTCCTCTCTTCCAAATAAACAGATAAATAGATCTTTAAAACTCGCTTGCCAACTGCGGAACTGCCAACTGTGTCCATGAGCTACACAGCAGGATTCCACAAGAATACACACATCCGTGACGCGCAGGAGTTACGGGGACTGGCACTGCTCAGAGGTAAAAATCGGACCCTCTGACTCAGCAGTTCTTCTGCTAAGTATTTAACCCAAAAAAAGGAACAAAAATTTGCACCAAACTGTTTGTAGCAGTTTTACTCACAATATCCCCAAACCAGAAACACACCAAGGTTTCAATAGGAGATGAATTAAAAACAAAAAAGGAACTGTGAGTACTTATAAAATGGCACAATTGTGCAAAAGAGGGGAAATAACTGATACAGGAGCAACACAGACCACCTTCAAAGGTGCTCTGCTGAGTGGACACGCCAGAGAAGCGTGCGCACAGGAGCTTCTGCCCAAAGCCAGGCAGGCCAGCGAGTATGCCAGATCAGAACAGGGGTCTGAGAGCAGGGACAACGACCAGGGAGACGCCCAGGGCCGCAGTACAAGCCTGGCTTGCCGTGCCAGCATCCCCGTGGGTGCTGGTTCCATTCCTGGCTGCTCCACTTCTGACCCAACTCCCTCCTAGCATGCCTGGAGAAACAGCAAGAGATGGCCCAGATCCTTGGGTCCCTGCACCCGCACAGGGGACCCAGGAGGAGCTCCACGATCCTGGCTACCACCAGCCCAGGTGGCCACAGCGGCTGCGTGAGCCGAAAGAGGCAAGCTCTGTCTCTCCTCTGTTTTGTTTCATTCAAATACAAATAAATCAGTCTCGGTTGGCGGGAAGCAGCAGTGAGCTACACTGCACACTTCATTATTCACTGGTCACGCCCCAACTTAAACATCAGGCATGGAAGTGAATGCTAGCCGCCACCTGCGGCAGTCCCTCCCGACACAGGTGGCTCTGTGATTCCAGAGCCTCATGGTTACTTTTACCTGCAACTTAAGCCAATTTCTGTCTCCTTCACTTTTTTTGGTGCTTTAAGAGGTCCTTTATTCCAGCAGGGCAGAAAAGGGAAGAGGGTGGTGGGAAAGCAAAGAGAAAAAGGCACATACCTCCTGCCATGGTGGGATGGGGCTGCCAGGGCAGGGGAGGAGACAAGCCAGTGGAGGGCAGGGGGAGAGCCAGAAGGGGAAGAGAGGTCACTTTGGAAAAAAAAAAAAAAAAGATTTATCTTTATCGGAAAGTCAGTTATACGGAGAGGAGGAGAGACAGAGGAAGCTCTTCCATCTGCTGGTTCACTCCCCAAGCGGCTGCAACGGCCAGAGCCGAGCTGATCTGAACCGGGAGTCAGGAGCTTCCTCTGGGTCTCTCACATGGGTGCAGGGCCCCGAGGCCTTGGGCTATCCTTGATTGCTCTCCTAGGCCACAAGCAGGGAGCTGGATGGGAAACGGGGCCGCCAGGACATGAACCAGTGCCCACATGAGATCCTGGTGCGTGCAAGGCGAGGACTTCAGCCACTAGGCTACTGTGCTGGGCCCCTCTCTTTCACTTTTTTAAAGATTTATTTGAAAGGCAGAGTTGCAGAGCGAGAGACAAAGACAGAGTTTCATCCGCCGGCTCGCTTCTCAAATCACTGTAATGGCCAGAGGGGGCCTGTCTGAAGCCAGGAGCCCAGAGCTGCTTCTGGCCCTCCCATATCACTTGGGCCATCCTCTGCTGCTTTCCCAAGTGGATTAGCAGGAAGCCAGATCAGACGTGGAACAGCCAGGACTCTAGTGCCCATGAAATACTGGTGCCACAGGTAGTCGCTCTGTCCACTACACGATGGTGCTGGCCCCCGAGCGAGTTTCTTAAGCACTTCCTCTCACCATTTTCGTTGACTAGTAATGGGGATCGTATTTCTCAAACATGCTAAAAATGATGCCCTGACTATGCCATACTGAAGGTGCCCTGACTATGCCATACTGAAGATTCCCTGACTATGCCATACTAAAGGTGCCCTGACTATGCCATACTAAAGGTGCCCTGACTATGCCATACTAAAGGTACCCTGACTATGCCATACTAAAGATTCCCTGACTATGCCATACTAAAGGTACCCTGACTATGCCATACTGAAGGTGCCCTGACTATGCCATACTGAAGGTGCCCTGACTATGCCATACTAAAGGTGCCCTGACTCCCTGGCGACGGGATAGAAGAGTCAGAGCATCATGATTTTTAACCCTGCAGCGCTAACAGATCTACCCTAGGACCGAGGGCTTCGATCAGAATTCAATCTATGCAACCGTGTCAATGGTCTTCTATTCACACACCCACAGAACCAGGTGAACGTGCCGCCAGCACGGAGGAACAGGGGGCCAACACCAGTGCTGCCAGGTGGAACTGCCTGCTCGCAGCAGGGCCACGCGGAGGCCCTCAGACAGCACTGGGCGGCGCTGTCCCCACGCCAGGGGTACCACAAAGCTACTTCTGCTGCAAAGAGGACGGCATGGAGGTCCTGACAAGGGACAAAAGGGACAGCATGGTAGGGGTTACCCAGACGACACGCCCTGTCACAGGATATGTACCGGAGGGCTTCAACTGGGATCCCTAACAAGTCCTCCGGGATTCTGGAATCATCTGCTGAAGCAGGCGGCACCAGGACTTAGGTATGCAGATGGCTGTTTGAAAAAGATCACTGACGGGCCCAGCACAGTAGCCTAGTGGCTGAAGTCCTCGCCTTGCACGCACCAGGATCACACATGAGCACTGGCTCCATTTCCCATCCAGCTCCCTGCTTGTGGCCTAGGAAAGCAGTCAAGGATGGCCCAAGGCCTTAGAACCCTGCACCATGAGGGAGACCCAGAGGAAGCTCCTGACTCCCAGCTTCAGATCAGCTCAGCTCTGGCTACTGTGGCCATTTGGGGAGTGACCACAGGTGAAAGGTCTTTCTCTCTGTAACTCTGCCTTTCAAATAAAAAGACACCACAGCAGCAAGAGGAGGATGAGCATCCAGAGGGCTGCCTGCTCCGTCCCCTCCGGCCGAAGCTGGGGTGCAGGCCCTGGGACAGCAGTCATGGAAGAACTGGCCAACGGGGACGCCAGGGAGATGACAGGAAGCAGGGATGCGTCTGCCCCAGGGGCTACAGGCTCTGGAAGGTGTGTGCTGAGCGTGCCTGTGGGAGCTGAGGCACCCACAGGAGGCCCACCCAGAGGTGGCAGGCAGCAGAGGAAGCTGGGAGCCCACAGAGCCAAGCAGAGCAGCCCCCGCCACTCACGAGGGAGACCCAGAAGAAGCTCTCGGCTCCAGGCTTCGGACTGGCCACTTGGGGCGTGAATCTGTGGATGGATGGTCTGTCTGTCCCTCTCTCTGCAGCTCGGCCTCTGAAATTAAAATAAAAAGAATTGCTTTAAAGATCAAACATATTCCAAAAGCTCCTTGAGGAAATCCTGCAGTTAGTCAGGAAGACTGCTCCAGCAGGAACTTAGTATGTGACCTTAGGTCTGTGGTCCACTCGGTGCACCCCAGATCGCCACCCCTGTCTGTGCGAAGTCCGCCGCCTCTCTCCAGGGCTCCTCGGCCCTTGCTAACACTTCTCTTGCTTCGGGAGGACCTGACAGGACAGCGATGAGCAGGGCTGTCCTGCTACGAAGCTGCACCCGAGGCGGGGCTGGGCTGGGAATGACCAACGGCCAGACTTCTCCCTCAGAAGGCAGAGTGAGCCAGTGGACCTCCACAGACAGCCAATGCAGACACCCTGCTGCCTTCTAGAATGTTCCAGAAATGCAACTTAGCTAATAATACATGTTTTTTCCTGCAGCCACACCTTTCATATCTCACTCGAGCCTTTCAGTTTAACCACGTTCTGACTTCTGGCTGGCAGGACACGCGCACAAGGCCAGTTGACCTAACAGGCAAATTGAACAAGGTGACTTCTGAAACCACGACCCGAGAGAAGCCGAGCCCCAAATGGCACTGCCCACAGCCTCAAGCTCATCAGAAACAGTGGGAGCAAAACATAGGCAAGGGTGCCTTAGGCAGTACACAAATGAAACACTGCGGCCCCATGTGGGTGCGGGTCTTACAGCCCAGGACAGGCACCTGCCAGGCAACCCTCATCACCAGCCAATATTCCTCAGTCAACAGCGTGTGCCCTCAACGGCAAAAGCCGGCTCTGCCCTGGCAGCCCCTGGCAGGGTGGACAATGGACAACTGAGGGAAGGAGAGGGGCATTCAGCAAGCCCGTTTACAACTCCACCCTTAGGGAGGGTTTACAGCCGCCCCATAAAACCACCCCCTCACCTGCCCCAGGGGAGAAGCGTGGCTCCGCGAGCCGCCCCGGCTCAGGCCACACTGCCGGGGTGCCCCGACACCCCGGGGCGCTGAGGGGCGGCAGGTGCGCGGCGGGCCGCACTCACCCGAGGCCCGGGCGGGGTCGCCCGGCGCTGCGGCTCCTCCCGGCCGGCGGCGGCGACTGCAGCAGCCGAGGCAGGGACGCATCATGCGGCCGCGCTCATGGCCGGGCCGGAGCGGGCCCCGCGGCTCGGACGACCGGGGCCGGTGGGCAGCAGACGGACGCGCGAGCCCGCAGCCCTGCCCCGAGTGCGGGGCCCTGCGGCCGCCGGAAGTGAACCCGGCGAGGGCAGGGGCGCCGCGCCTGCGCACTCCGGCCGCGCCGCCCGGGCCGGCGTGAGGAGGGCCGTGGGGTGGGGGGCGGCCGGGACCCCTCAGGGAGGAGGCAGAGCCGGTCTCGGTCGCAGCGCACCGCTCGGTAAAGCTCGGACACGTCCGCGCACTGGGCCAGGGGCGGGAAGACGCTGGGGGGCTGCGGGCCTCCGCGAGGTCCAAGCGGGCGCCCTATGGGGCACCCCAAAACCGGCCGGCGGGAAAGGCTGGAGGAGCCCACGAGCCAGGGCGTCGGCGAGGTGGGAGGAAGCCGGTCTTTCTTGGTTCCTGGAGGCTTAGGGAGAAGCCCTGGTGGCCCTGTGGCTCGGTCAGCGAGTTGGCTGGCACCTCATGGTGCCAGGGCTCTGTGTCCATTCCCCAGCAGGGAAGGTGGGTGCCAGGGGTGGGGAGTGAGTGAGCGGCCCGCTGGGACTTACGTGAGGGATTTGGACACTTAGAGTGTTGAGGGGGGTCCCTTCTGTGTGACATCCTAAGGTTTTTGAAGATGGAACACCCAGGGTCTATGTTAAAAGCTTTATTTGAAGGGCAGTGGCCAGGGCTGCGGCCTGGAATTCCATGTGAGTCTCCCACGTGGATGCAGGGACCCAAGTCTCTTTTTTTGCTGCGAGCAGACTTAGCAGGGAGCTGTGTTGGATGTGGAGCAGCCAGGACTGGAACAGATCTCATGGAATGCCAGCATCGCAGGCGGTGGGTGAGCTTGCTGTGCCCCCACGCCTCCACCTTTCAGCTTTTATTTTTGGACAAGATTTATGTCTGTGTTTATTTGGCAGGCAGAGTAACAGAGAGGGAGAGAGAGCTTTCATTCACTGGCTGGCTCCCCAGAGGAGCGCGACAGCCAGGGCTGGGCCAAGCAAACCCAGGATCCAGGCACTCTGTCCTGGTCTCTGTGGGTGGCAGGGACCCCGAGTCCTTGGGCCACTGTCTGCTGCCTGCCGGGCTGCAGGAGCAGGACCAGAAGCAGCACAGCTGAGGCTCAAACCAGGATAGCATGGGATGCCAGTGTCCCAAGGTTGACCTGCTGTGCCTCCACGCCGACTGCGGCCTCTACTTGTTGAAAACATTCCTGTGAGATGAAGATCAGACTACTTCCAAGGCTCCTTCTGTATGAAGAGCATGGTTCACCTTGGAGTGTGCGGCCTTACCCTGACTGCCCAGGCAGCTGGGATGGATCCCCCTGCAGAGATGCAGACCGCCCCTCCTGTGTTAGCTGTGTTCCTCCTCAGAAGCCCTGGGCCTTCAGAGTGAGGGGACCCTCCCTTCAAAGCCATGAAAGGACGTTTAGCCTCATTGAACGTCAAAGGAGTGACCATAAGCTCAAAAGCACACAGTGCTAGCACTGCCTGGCCCGCTGATGCGAATGTCTGCGAGTCCTGAGTTGTCCAGGAAGGCCAGATTGGTGTGCTTAGAGTCCAGCCAATTCTCTGCAGAGCAGGTTGCAGTACAAATAGTAGAACACCAGTGTGCACGCTGGGCCCAGCAGTCCTGCTCACGGGTGTTTATCCTGCCAACAGATCGGCTGTGTGTGCCCTGCACTTGCAGTGACAGCTTTTCAGAAAGCTGGGCAGAGTACAGTAGAGTGTTTGTGGAAGCGAAGTTCGGGCGTCGGCCTGCTGCCTCGCCTACTGTGTGCAACAGCTGGTGCCCACACACAGCGTGACGCCATGCAGTTGTCAGGCTGAGATAAATTTTTATGAATCGATAGGAATGGTCTTTGCTAGTTGTCTGCATTATAAAACTGTGTCTTTTTGTGTAGAAGGGAAGAACTGAAAAAAAAATTAGGATTTATTTGTTTATTTGAAAAGCAGAGTTACAGAGGGAGAAAAATCTTTCGTCCACTGTTCACTCCCCAAATGGCCACAGGAGCCAAGGGTGCATCAAGACAAAGCCAGAAGCTCAGAGCTGCTTCCGGATCTCCCAGATGAGTCCAGGGGCCAAACACTTGGATGATCTTCTGTTAGTAAGGAGCTGGATTGGAAGTGGAGCATCCGTGCTCCAAAAGGATGCTGACACTGCAGGTGGCCACTTAACCCACTGTGCCACGGCACTGGGCCCTGAGTTGAGAGATTATACACGTTTGTATGCCCATTGAATCCTGGAAAAACACAGAAGAATTAGATGTGTAGTTTGTTGATTTTTTTTTTTTTTACTATGAGGATGTACTCATTTTAAAAACAAAAAATAGTGATTTAAAATAAATAAGACAATAGAACAGTTGGCCAAACCCTTCAATAGATACTTAATAAAAGGACCTATCTCAATAGGAGAAAGTGCTTGTTTTCATTAATCGTCAGGGAGACGCAAACTTAAACCACACCTCCTAGAATGGCAAAAAACCAAACCCCAGGTGTTGGCAGGTGTGGGCAGCCTGTGCACTGCTGGTGGCTGTCTTGGACCATGTTTTAGCACCCCTATAACTGAACACAGGGCACAGGTGCTGTGGTGCGGTGGGCTAAATCACTCCTTGCTGTGCCCACATTTCCTGTTGCAGTGTTCCTGAGTCCTACCTAACTCTGCTTCCAATCCAGCTTGCTCATAATGTGTCTCGCACAGCAGTGGATGCTGGCTCAAGAACTTGGGCCCTAGCTACTCACATGGGAGATCGTGGTATCCCCAGCTCCTGGCTAAGGCCGACCCAGCCCTGGCGTGTGGGCACTTGGGAAGTGAGTGATAAAGGGAAGATGGCTCTTTTTCTGTCACTCTTCCTTTCGGATAAGTGACCAGATCTTTACGACAGACTGAGCTCAGGTTCACCAAACGTGTTGTTCTAGAACTTGCACAGAGCCTCATCACTGGCAGCCCAGACTCGGATCAGCCTGAAGTGTCCATCAGTGACAAATGGCTAAACAACCGGTGTCCGGTCCCGCAGTGAAGTACCGTGCGTCGACGGAGAGGGCAGATGACATCAACAGGGATAGAAAACAGAACAGAAGCCATACCCGACAGAATACACACGATATGACTTCGTTACCCAAAGCAGGTAGCCCGGGCGTTCAGCCTTGGCCAGCATGCTGCCACCCCATCTCGGACTATCCAGGCTCAGTACCTGCTTCTCTGACTGTAGCTTCTGCTCGCACAGACCCTGGGAGGAGGAACAGTGGCCCACATACTTGGGTCCCTGTCACCCACATGGAATAGCTGGCTTGGGTTCCTGGCGTCCGGCTTCAGCCTGGCCCAGCACAGGCCATCGGGGGGATCTGAGCAATGACCAGCAGATGGAGATTTTGTGTCTCTCTGCTCTTAAAAATCAATTTTCAAAATTTGTAATGAATGTGAAGACGGGCAAACTCGGTCTCTGTCTAGAAGAGGCACAGGCCACACTGCAGTTCGCTGGGAGGGGTTTGCTCGGGGTGGACACGGGGTCGCACCCAGCCCTTCAGGTGAGTGCCGCGGGCAGCAGGGACTCGGAGATGGAGGGAGAGGCTCTCAAAGGTCGCACAGTGGAAAATCGGTTTTTCCCGGAGAGTAAGCTTCCGATTTTCTGTCGTGCTGAATTTACAGCCAGCCTGAGGGCAGACGCTGTGCAGGCCCAGGCTGTGTAAACCCAGAGGCAGTGGGGCTCCCTGTGCTCTGAGCCTGCAGGGCATGGGCAGCTGCCCGGGGCGGGGAAAGGGGCATGGTGGTGGTGCCAGG